TGGGACACAGTCTATAGCTAGCAGACTTATGCCACTTGAGGCAGGTCTTTGGAGTTAGAATCTGACACTGTTTCTAGTCGCGCTCTGCTTCCTGACCTACCAAATAGTGAACAACTATGCTGCAAGGTCCTGTTTTTCCATATGTAGCTACCCCAGCCACCATGCCTGTCCTATAGATGGGTTGTTTCCTCTGCAACTGGGAGCCCAAATAGACCTCCTTTCTCTTAAATATTTTTGTCATGTATTATGTCTAGTAATAGGAAGATATATCTAAGTGTTTTCTTTGGGTCAGAAATGGGGAGTAGTCTCAGACTTTAGGCAAAAGAAGACCCTGCAAACAGGAGCTATGCTACAAGAATTCAGCACAATACAGGAGTCACCAGATGCTGGAAAAGGCAAGGAGAGTATTTCCTTTAGAGACGTTGGAGGCGTATACTTGGACTTCCGATCTCTATGACACCCTAGAGGATGTTTTAAGTTACCCGGTTTGTGGTACATCCTTGTAACATATACCAAGAGAATGAATATAATATAAACCTTCATTTTTTTTCTTCTTGTCGTTAAGGTCCAGTACAATTTTTATTAGACTTTAAGAGAAAACCATCAAGGTAGAGGAGCTGCAAACCCTGGCAGCTGCCAGGAGAATGAGATGGGGAAGTGAAAATGAGAAAGCCATGTAGTTTGTAATGGAGCTCGGTAAGTATCCATGTAGCAAAAAGATGGGGAGGTGATTTCAGAGAAAGAGTAAAACAGCCCTGAGAGTTAGCGAAACACTGTTTAGCCTTTGGCCAGGGCTTGAAAAATTCAGGCTAGAGAAAAATTAACAACAACAAAAGGTATGCTTTTATGAGCCCTAACTTAGACATGTCAATGGGCTGCATGGCAGAGGCTCCACAGTGTTGTACTCCACAGTATTACACATAGCCTGTACCGAGAAGAAAAAACACATTATTTCTTTAAGGGGATATTAATTCTTCTCATTAATTCCTCCTCTGGGTGGCTTGGGATGTCAGGTCTTCACCCAGAGATGGAACTTAGAACAAAGCCTAAATAAATTAACCTGTTTTTTTTTTTTTAAATGGTTCTCACAGGCCCATAGGGAATGTATGTGGGTGTGTGACCTTGTTGGAGTAGGTGTAGCTTTATTGGCATCACTAGGGGGTAGGCTTTGAGGTCTCACAAATTCAAGCCAGGTCTAGTAGCTCACTCCCTGCTGCCTGTGGATCCAAATGTAGAACTCTCAGCTACCTCTTCAGCATCATGTCTGCCTACACGGAGTCCTGCTTCCTGCCATGATGATAATGGACCTCTAAACTGTAAGCCAGCCCCAATTAAATATTTTCCTTTATAAGAGTTGCCATGATCATGGTGTTTCTTCACATCAATAGAAACCCTAACTAAGATATTGTTCATATGGTAATTTGATTTTCAAGGAATGAAAAAGCTAAGTGTTTGTATTTCTTTTTTTTAATTTTAATTTAATTAGAAAGAAAATTATTTTACATGTCAACCCAGGTCCCTCTCCCCAGCTTCTTCCCCTGCCCCTCCCAACTAACACCCTACCTATCCTATACCCTTTCTGCTCCCCAGGAAGGGTGAGGCCTTCCATGGGGGGGTCTTCAAAGTCTGTCATATTCTTTGGGATAGGGCCTAGGCAAACCCCCTTGTGTCTAGGCTCAGGAGTATCCCTCCATGTGAGATGGGCTCCCAAAGTCCACACCTATGCTAGGAATAAGTACTGATCTACTACAGGAGGCCCCATAGATTTCAGAGGTCTCCTCACTGAAACCCACGTTCCTGGGTTCTAGATTAATCCCATGCTGGTTTTCCAGCTATCAGTCTTGGGACCAAGAGCTCCCTGTTGTTCAGGTCAGCTGTTTCTGTGGGTTTCACCAGACCCCTTTGATCATCACTCGTCCTTCTCTGCATCTGGATTTCAGTTCAGTTCAGTGTTAAGATGTGGGTATCTGCTTCTACTTCCACCAACTGCTGGATGAAGGCTACAGGATGGCTTATAAGTCAGTCATCAATCTCATTATCAGGGGAGGGCATTTAAGGTAGCCTCTCCTCTGTTGCTTAGATTGTTAGTTGGTGTCATCTTTGTAGCTCTCCAGACATTTCCCTAGTGCCTGATTTCTCTCTCTTTTTTCTTATTAGTTCAAGTTAGGGAACAAGCTTGTTTCACATGTAAGTCCCTTCTCCCTCTCCCTCCCCTCCCCCACATCCCTCGTCCCCCACCCCTGCCCTACCCCCAACCCCATTCACCCTCCACTCCCCAGGCAGGGTAGGGCCCTCAACGGGGGCTCTGCAAAGTCCACAAAGTCTTCCTGTGCTGGGCCTGGGTCCTTCCCCATGTGTCCAGGGCCAGAGTGTATCCCTTCATGTGGGATGGGCTCTCAGTGTCCCTTCTTACACCAGGGAAAAATACTAATCCACTACCAGAGGCTCCCTAGAGTGCAGAGGCCTCCTTATTGACATCCATGTTCAGGGGTTTGGATCAGTCTTGTACTGGCCT